TTAACAACTATCAGAAATGAGTTTTCTGGAATGCGAATCGTCAATGAAATTAAGCCTAATCAGCAAGATTCTTACTTTCAAGTGAAAATAAATGACAGTGTAAAATATCTTCATAAACAGACTGCATATTGGTTATTAACTCACAAAAACAGTCGTCTATCTACCGATCGTCTATCCAGAGTTATACAAACTGGCAAAAAAGATTAAACTCTTGTATTTTTTTGTCTCTAAAATTTTTTACTAGTATAACAAAGTTTTGGTACTACTTTCAGCTCTTCGTCACAACTTAATACGACGATTTGAATAGATTTGCTGGCGATACTGAAAATATTTGAGGATTCAGAGAGATTTGGAGCGATTTAGACGGATTTGGTAAGATTTGGAGGGATTCAGAGCGATTTGGTGAGATCTGAGAGATTTCAAAAGATTTGGAGAGATTTTAGAGATTCAAATCAGTTTTCTCCCACTCGGGCTATCCAATGATATAGTTGAAGCGCTTCTGAAGAAATTGTAAGATTACTACGCTTTCTGAAAAACTGAGCTTTTCAGAAACTTCTTTCTCAAGACCCCAGGTGTAACATTACGTTTCTTCATCGCGATATATAGAACTCGACGCGCTCTTTCATTTGATACCAACTTCAAGGTTCTATGTTAGGGATTGTGGTCAGCAGAGGTTCTACAAGTTAGGCCGAATCCGATGAAAAATGACAAAAATACATTTTTCTGCTGCGAGTAGGGCTGCCACAGTACTGTTACTTTTATGAGTAATCCAAATATTGTATATATTCCTATTACCAGTAATAGTTTTCAGTTTTACTGCTGCTGGTAATAGCAATATTCATAAAATTTGTACCAGCAACAATAAAACTGAAAACTATTATTCTTACTGGGAACAGCAAGATTTCCCACATTTGAATTACTCGTAAAACTAGTAGTAATGTGCCACTCCTACCTGCGAGGGCAAAATAGCTATAACGTTTTTTCTAACAAGGCTAGAGACGATTTTTCGGTTTTCACCATTCGGTTCAGCTTGCTGAGCTCCATAATGACATAGGTCTCGTCACTGGCATTAAAGGTCGATGTAAATGGTGGTAGGTTTTATATGGATTGAGCCTATCCGTCCATGCCTATCCCTCATGCTGCTTTGAGCACCTCTGTTGTAGACCCAAATGTTTTCAGATTGCTTTTTTCAGATAGTTTTGTTCATCTAGTCTTCCGGCAGTTTTCCACAATATATCATGATGTTGTTATGGGTGAAAATTAATTTTTTTGAGATCCTCTGTTCTGCAAAACCATTGTTACGTGAAGTAACATTAGACATTTCTTTTGCACAATGAACTGTTTAGATAGGATCCGTAGGGCATTCGATAGAGAATTTGTTGGCGCATCTAACGATATGTAAATGAGCATGAGAAACACTTTCTTTCTTTCGAGAAAAACGTTTTCTCGATGGATACCAATTTTTGCTATTTCTGAAAAAAGCTTTTTTCAGGGAGGGTATTAATATGTATATTAAGAGCTAAAAAATGGTAAACGAGGCTTTCAGCATCTAAAGCTCGATTATCTGCCGAACAGTTTACTGTAAATAGGCTTAATACATAGAATTTGAACAGCAATAGAACTTGAATGTAGAAGACATCGCAGTTTAAAGCACAGTTGTCAGATCAATAATCAGCCTTTTAGTGAAAAATCTTCGTGCTCAATCGGCAAACCTTCCAAATGTGGATCACGTCGAAATGCTAAACCTTGTTTAGCTAAATATCGAGCTGCATTAGATAATGTGATAATAACATCTTTATTCAGTTTTAACATTACATCTTGTTCGTGATCAGCTTTACGACGATTATTAGCAAGCATTATGTCGATAGTTGTTTTCTTGTTTTGAAAGTTTTCATAACGAGCTAACGATAATTTATGTGTTACAGATCCAAAATGTTGTATTAACTTTCCTAGACAATAACCATCTAATAATGAATCAACGTATATGATTTCACACAGAGCTTAGATAATGTAATCAAGGTAATTCGTCGAAACATAAAATTTGCAGATCGATCTTGGGTCTTGTAGATTTCGTGTGGAGTTTGACGTTTTATACTCATTCTTGCTCTTGTAGACTAGATAACTTATATCAGAGATCAACTTACCTTGTTTTTCTTTTCCTCGACATTTCATTTTAGTCCAATTATTCACCCCAATCCACAACAAAGCTTCTTCCAGTTTTTCACTTCCTGGCGCTATAAAAAGCAATGAATAATCCTTTAGTGATTGGTATACATACAATGACAATTAAATACACTAGAAACTACTCTCACCAATATGTAATAGTCGGCATGTAAAACAAAATGCTGCATCTTTCTTCTGACTATATTCTAAACAGGGAAATTCTTCATACCATTTTGCAGCAAATCGACATGTCTTTTTTGTTTGTACAAGTATATCATTTGTTGGATAGTGTTGTAGAATAGGCTGCGATGGACCAACAGACACAACATATCTTAATTCTTCTTCGATAAAAATATGACCTGATTTATAATGGCCTTAAACCAAAAAGTATTCTAATGAATACGGTACGAGAGATTGTCAGTAGGAGAACACCTCAACCAGTCCGAGTCTTACCTGGAAATCTACTAACTAGTTCATTATATTTTGCTTCAATTATTGTTATATTTTCACGATCGTTCTCAATTTTGCTAATTCATTCCATACATAATAAATTTAAATCATTTTCAACTTTTAATATTTGATTGGCATACTCTCTGAATAAAATTTTCTTCACATATGTCAGGCGTTGTAGATTGTTTAATTAATTCTTCAGAAGAACGAAATGATGTTTGAATATATCTAAGCTGCACACTAATTTGATCTGCACTTAATTTATGTTTATTTATATCAGTTGTTGAACAATTGTTGAATTTATCTTTATCTATATCTCTTGGTTTATCTACAAACAAACTTGATCTATAAATTTATGTGTCTGAGATATTATTCAATCACGAACACCTATAACTATTTTCGACAAAGAAAAACAATCCTTTTCAAGTCATCATTTATTATCTTTCATTTTCTTCGTTATTCGACTGTTTGTCATTATTTGTCAAATTTATTTCATTCACACATGTACTTTCTTCTATTGCTGAAACATCCATGTTTTCAATACATTGCAATACATTAAACTGTTCATTTAAATATAATCTTTCAGTCCCTATGACAATACTGTTTTCAATAAAATCATTCTTAGAATGCATGTTTCCGTCTGTTGTCACTGGAAAAGAACTTGAGAATGTTGCCGTTGTGATGGTTGGTTTAGTACTATTTTCATTTTCATTCTCTTTATTATCTGTATTATTATTATCACTATAATTATTATTATTTTCATCTTTTTTAAACCATTTTAATAGACTGTTACTGTCAGATGTTGTTGAGTATATTAAACGTAAATGAAAAACAAGGTCGGTTGTCGAGGAAAAGGAAAACAAGGTAAGTTGATCTCTGATATAAGTTATCTAGTCTAGACTGTAATTTGGAATTATTTTCTACTTTATAGAAAATCGATCTGGAAAATCGCCAAGGATTTTCCAACTTTTATAAAATCCTCAGCGATTTTCTGACTGTTTAGAAAATGTTGATTTTCTGCTTTATTTTCTATAAATTGACTTTTCTCATTTGCCAGAAAATCGATAAGGAATTTCTAAAAAGTTAGAAAATCGACAGCGATTTTCTAACTTTTAGAAAATCGATTGATTTTCTATAAATAATTCCCAACATTCTTGAAATTCGACAGCGATATTCTAAATAGTTGGAAAATCGAATTCGATTTTCTAAGACGAATCGGCCATTTTTTGTTGCTTCTTTCACATCTATCAAAGTCTTCATTGCAACAAGTTATTCTGTAACAGATCTCTGTTCCGTTTAGTATTTAACATCGAAAGTGTTAGTAGATTGGGAAAGTTCTCTCAGTTTTCTTGCAAATCAGCATATTCTTCGAGAAGCATTATTGTTGTATGACACTTAGAGATCACAAAGAGGCACTGAAAAGGTTCTTGGGGTTAGGTCTGA